AAAAAAAAAAAAAAAAAGTTCTCTCTCTCCCTCTGACCCTCCTTCTCCACACACATGCTCTTTCTAAATAAATAAAATCTTAAAAAAAAAAAAAAAGGCCTGCCAGTTTTAAATAATCATCATTCTGTAGTGATCTCATCCTACATGTAGTATTTGGGGGGAATCCTCATGTCTTGGGGCTTATAACACTGGCAGTATATGTAAATCCCAATGTCACACCAGATCATATCACCCCCTTGATTGGAGGCAAGGGAGATTCCACCTAGTTTGAAATAAAATCTTTACTGTGGGGAGGCTGGGTGGTTCAGTCGGATGAGCATTGGTTTCAGCTCAGGTCATGATCCCAGAGTCCTGGGATCGAGCCCTGCATCAAGCTCTGTGCTCAGTGGGGAATCTGCTTGGGATTCTCTCTCTCCTTCTGCCCCTCCCTTGCATGAGCTCTTGCTCAGACGCACATGCTCCCTCTGCTAAAATAAAAAAATCTTAAAAAAAAAATCTTTACTGTATCCCATAATTATGCCTCCTTATTGCCTGGTCCTTGCCTATTTCTTTAATTTTCTATGTTTTTTTTTTTTACTATTTTCCAGTCAAATGAGCCTTATTCTCACACCCGAATAAGCCAGGGTATATGTCAGGGTCTTTACACATGTTATTCTGTCAGCGTGGAGCTTGCTTCTCTCAGACCTTGTCATTGCTGGCTTCTTCAGGTCTTGGTTCAAAACTACATCCTTAGAGAAAAGGGTTATGCTTGACCCTATCTACAAAAGAATGCACACATCCCCCAACATACACAGTTTACTATCTTAATTTTTCTCATAAATTTTATCATTATATAAAAAGTTTTATGTATTTTGTAATCTAACTGTTTTAAAGAATGAAAGTTCTGTAAGAACTTGAAACCTTGTTCTTGTTCACAGCCATACCCCCAGTTTCTAGAAGAGTGGCATATAGTAAGTGCTAAATAAATATGTCCTAAAAGAACAAAAATTTGGCATATCCCTAACCCAGTTCTGAAAAATAAATCTAGGATACTTAGTTTGGACTGCTTTGCTTGAGGCTACTAATAGCCATTTCCAAGAGTGATTCTTTCCAACAGCTCCTCCACTGTACACCTAGCAGGAGTGCTCCAATGTTTGTGCTAGCAGATAATACAACTAAGAGAGCAGAATAATCAAGGAACTCAAAAATCTATCCTATTAATCTACTTGATATCAATTACAAAGTTAAATTTGTACATTGCACTATGTCAGTATCTGAAATTTTGACAGAATAGGAATGCTAAGCATTATATAACTATCATTATCTAAAAAACATAATGGGATTTATAGTTTCATATGTTCAGAATTTAGAAAACATGAGTTTAAATTACATAAGCAAGCACTTATTATGTAAACTTTTAAAAGAAAGACATACCTCCTAAAGCCCCACTGTGGTCTAGACTTTTCTTTTTAAAGCCATTAGAGACGATCAAAACAGGAACAACAACAGAAAACAGCCAACGCCAAGGAGAAATAGGCTGTAAATTACCTAAAAAATTAAATTCACAGGTTAGTCTTGGCTATAAGCTTTGATAACTGCATTCTGGATTAAAATATTGTCATAAGTAGAGAAACTGAGATGAAGTCACCAAAGTAAAATAACTATGTTGAGACTTACGTATTTCCAGAGAGACAGTCCTTTTGGAGAATGACCAAGTCCTGTCCAAGTTTTGTTATTTCATACATATTTGGAGATTTGAAATGACTCTCTAGTTCCCCATTGTTTTGGAAAGGAGACACGTATTAAATCTCAAGAATTGTATAGAGCAAACTATTTTCTTAGCAGGATCCAATTATTCTTCTTTCTGCCTTTCAGAGAGATTTATTTTTTAAAGTAACACTCTTACAGGCTACACACCTCCATTCAACAATTAGCAACTGATTTTTCCAAAGGTTGCATCCACCTCACAGATGTTTCTTTTTGTTTGGCTAGCATAATGTTTTCAAACCACTGGGAGTCAATATTTAAAGATTAGGAGGTTTCATATAAAAATCCAGAACCCTGGCTTCTGTTTTAAAAACTGGATGCTCAGGCCCACATGGCAGAATTGACCACAGTGGAGAGGCCACCCCCTTTAGACAAATCAGCTTTCTCATTTAAAGTTCCCACCAGGGCACCTGGGTGGCTCAGTTGGTTAAGCGACTGCCTTCGGCTCAGGTCATGATCCTGGAGTCCCGGGATTGAGTCCCACATCGGGCTTCCTGCTCAGCAGGGAGTCTGCTTCTCCCTCTGACCCTCTTCCCTCTTCGTGCTTTCTATCTCTCATTCTCTCTCTCTCTCAAATAAATAAATAAAATCTTTAAAAAAAAATAAAGTTCCCACCATTCCTGACTCCTAGACACCAAGACTAAGTGAGCATAGTGAAGAAAAATGTGAACTGTTGCTAGAGCCCATGTTTCTATCAAAAATGGGAAAATGGAAGATAAAGCAGGCCAAATGTTCAACAAAAATTCTATTTCTGAAAATGAAAACTTCTCAAGTGTTTAAGATGCAAAGATCAGGCGCCTGGTTCCAGAGGGGCACTTTGGTTTACAAATCCTTGTTTATTCCATTGAGTTCAAGTCATAGTTATTACTAGCACAAACGAGAAGCTTCTCTCATACTTCTCCTCAAACCCTCATCCCCTACTGTGAATCATTATGAATGAACCTGAAGACCGCCTATTCAGATTATTCCCATGTCTCTGCAAAAGGCTAAGGTCTGAAATGGCAATCCTTTCTCACTTGACTTTTCACTTTTTCTTTTCAGCTGAACAGTACTCCATTTTTATAGGAGTACCAAGGAAATTTCTGTAAAGGCATACTTATGCTCGAAGGAGTCTTCAAAACTGTAAAGGTTTGAGTCCAGAGTATCTTATATATATGCGGTGGGGCTTCAGATTTTAAAAGAAGTGACCAAAGAGCAGACAAATCCTCCAAATCTCCAAATGTAAACATTACACCACCTTTTATTTTTACTGCTGTTTTTACAGGATACAAAAAACTGATAAACTAGTTACAAATATTCTTACTAAAAGCATCACTGCAATTGCTTTACAAAATTGTATTTCATTTCACTTAATTTCTCATGAAGATAGATGTAATAACTACATACAACATAAAAATGTATTTTGAAATATGCTTAATCAGTATTATCAGAGGCGGTGTTTCTTAAAGGTTCTTAAGTGTTCAAAGTAGTGCTTATATTTTAATGTTGGTAAATTAAATTCATGCTGTGGAAGTTAAGTAAACACAACAATTTACAACCACTCAGAAGATACAAGTTTTGGGATTTCATTAATGATACAATTTTCAATTCCACCAATTAGATTATAGAAAAACAACTCAGAACACTCATACTTACCATAATAGGTGCTTGCAGTCATAGACATAATCCAGAAAGCTAAAGAAATGCAAATGATCAGGCTCAATATAACTATATTAGTTATCATCTTTATATATTTTTTGCAAATATTGTCGTTAAGATCTGTCATGGAAAATAACGATATGAGCCCCTGAGGGGGAAGACAGTGTGTCTAAGGAAAAATAAGTCATTTAAGTTGCCAGCAAAAAACTCGCGCAGGAGCCAACATAAATGCCAACATCTTCCACCGACCGCAAAAATAACATACACCCCAACTACTTCCGGAAACTGCGGCTGATGGAGATCTCAAACTCCCGTGAGCGAGGTTAAGACCTCACTGGAAAAGCAAAGCTCATTCTCTCTGAGCGCCGGGTCCTACGCCGGCGGTCACTTCACACCTGAGCTCCACAGACAGGAAAACGAAAAGAAAGCAGAATCAGCCAAACGCCAGTCCTGGGACGGCGGGCTCCGCCTTCACCACCCGCCCACGCGCTGACGCCAGGGTTGGGAGGGTGGGAGTGGTGGGAGAGGTGGGGAAGTGACTCTCGGCCGCAAAGAGGGTGCACAGCCAGAACCAGGGTGAGTTCCGAGGGTGAGCCCTGCGCGGTGGGGCGCGGTCACATCGCGACAAACGCTGGCGCCGCCCCAGAGTTCAGGTGCAGCTCGCCAGGGCCAAAGCCCCTTGGAGCTCAGCCGCGCACCGAGTCGCGTCTTCGCTTCCTGTGCGCAAACGCCGCGGCCATCTGAGGGCGTGGCTTCGCTCACATGAACTTTTTAAAGGGCGGTTCCAAGGACAGGCGGCTTGGCAGAAGCCGCCAGGGCCTTTAGGGATTGTAATTCTCGTCGGAATCCGAATCTGGAGCCTTAGTTCCTTGCGTTTGAGATCATACTCAAACACGGGAGGATGAAACCACCACCAGGGTAGGAATAGAAAACAGGAGTGCGAATGAATTTAAACCCAGTAAGTCCACTTCAAGCATAATCGAATGCTTTTTCATCTATAGAGTTCATGCCATATAAAATACGGATTTTTAAAAAATATTTAATTTATTTATAGAGAGCACAGGTGAGGGGAGGGACAGAGAGAATCTCAAGCCGACTCCCGCTGAACCCGGAGCCAATGGTGCAGCTTACTCCTAGGATCCTGAGATCATAACCTGAGCGGAAATCAAGTCAGAGGCTTAACCCACTGAGCCTCCCAGGGGCCCCTGATATTATGGATTTTTTTTTTTTAAGGGTAAGGGGGATATATTGTGTTGTAGGAGCAATTTTACGACTGAGAAAATTATTTAAAATGACACTGTTTCGTACCTATAATCTGCTGGACACTGCTGGTTGCTAGAGAGGTAAAGATAAAGTCGGGCATAGTTCCTGCTATTGAGCTCAAATTTACTGTCATGACAGCACTTACCATTGTGGAAATCTGTTCCTACACCTCTCATTTTAAGTGTGTGCATTCAGTCAATTCATTTAGAAAGAAGAACGTCTTGTTAACATTAAGTCTGAATCTTGTGGCTTATGCCATGTTTTATTTGAAATTAACTTGTGTGCCTGGGTTAAAATTAAGTGATAATTACAGCATATCTGAACTTTTTCAGAAAGTTGACTGCTGACAACGTAAGGAGGCAAATGAGTTTCAGATATAGTACCCAAATGTTTTAACCCAGAGTACTTTTTCTTTGAAAAGTAGTTTTGTTTTTTTTTTAACTACTGAGTACTTTTTAAAAACACACAATTCTAGGGCGCCTGGGTGGCTCAGTTGGTTAAGCAACTGCCTTCGGCTCAGGTCATGATCCTGGAGTCCCGGGATCGAGTCCCGCATCGGGCTCCCTGCTCGGCAGGGAGTCTGCTTCTCCCTCTGACCCTCTTCCCTCTCATGTGTTCTCTACCTCTCATTCTGTCTCTGTCAAATAAATAAATAAAATCTTAAAAAACAAAAAAAACCCACACAATTCTAAATTTAAGTAACATGCCAAGACAACTTAACATCCTTTTCTTTGGTACGACATCTAATTAACTGTGAAGTAGGATTAAATACTAGCGTCCATCTTATTTGACTACCTGTATATATGGTCTTCCTGCACAAATTATGTGCTCACTTTATTTTTGTCTCACTCTGTTCAGTACAGGCAAATAATGGGATTACCTCAGCAAGCTGACTGGCCAGTATCAGTCACACCAGATCATTGGGTAGAGTTAATGTCACTTCAGTATGTTAAGGGAAGTGTCATAGAAAGAGGGATTGTCAGAGCTAAGACATGAAAGATGATGAAGTTTGTTAAGTAACCAAGCTAAGGGAAGGGCACTTTGTAGTTGGTTAAGGAGAGCATGAAAATAGGAAGTCCAAGAGAGTGGAGAAGAGTTAGAGATAAGGTTTGAAATAATTTATCTAAACAAGCTGAAAGTTCACCTAAGAGATAGGCACCTATCTGCTTTCTTTCCTTTTTTTTTAGGGATTTTATCCATTTGAGAGAGAGAGAGCGTGTGAGCAAGCACGAATTGGGGGTAGCGGCAGGAGAGAGAAACAGACTCTCCACTGAGCAGGGAGTCCAGGCAGCCCAGGACCCTGAGATCATGACCAGAGGTGAAGGCAGTTGCTTAACCGACAGAGCCACCCAGGCATCATACATCTCTTTCTAGATATTAAACTAAAGTTTTTATTTTTCAGCTTTTGGAGCGCAAATTTTGAAAGCCTAAGCAGCAATCTGAAGACTAATTTCTTATATTAGATTCAACTCATTCTAAAGGACATTAGGAAGAGAGTAGGGAGCAGGAATAAACAAATGGAATATTTACTTCCAGTAGTCTTGAGGGCAGGGACCTTGTCTGGTTCATCCTAGTTTGCTCAGTGTCTTTTAATGAATATTAATACAGTATTTTTTGGATTAAAGTATCAAATAAAAAATGAATTTAAAAAAAAATCACATCTTTTGGGGCACCTGGGCCAGGTGGCTCAGTCGTTAAGTGTCTGCTTTCGGCTCAGGTCATGATCCCAGAATTTTAGGATGGAGCCCTGCGTTAGGCTCCCAGCTCAGCCCGGAACCTGCTTCTCCCTCTCCCTCTGCTGCTCCCTCTGCTTATTTCCTTTTTTGTTATTAAAATCATGCTTTGGTAATCATATTTAAAAATAAATCTTTGTGTGAGCCTCTAATTATTGTCAGGATAGAGAATTTTAATAGCCCTTTATGTATTTGGTTTAGATCGCATAACCAGTATAAAACAGTGCAGTGGCACCTGAGTGGCTCAGTTAGTCGTCCAACTCCTGATTTCAGTTCAGGTCATGACCTCTGGGTCCTCTGTGCTCAGCGCGCAGGGCTCTGTGCTCAGTGCTTGGCCCTCTCCCTCTGCTCTTCATCCCCCCACCCCAGTTCACGCTCTTGTGCTCTCAAATAAATAAATAAATAAATAAAATCCTAGAAAACAACAGCAAAAAAAACCCAGTGCAAATAAACTATAATGTATGCTTAGATATAACTTGAGCAATGAAAATAAAAATGATAATTCCTCTTCTAGGCTTTACATATCTTTGTTTACAGTTTGCTTCAATTTAGGGTCAAGGACTTTTACAGAAATATTTTAGGGGGTCCATGTAGGGGAAAGACTTCCACAGAGATATTCATGTACATTTTGTAAAATAATAGTCATGACAGTAATTTCCTTGTAAAAAAGTTTTTAATAACATACTCAGAATACAATATTTGTTTAATATACATTATAAAATCATTAATTTTAGAAAGTTTCCTACTGTCTAAATACCTACAGAATCCCATATTCTGGCATAAAGATGAACTGTTTTCCCTATTATACCAAAATTAAAATTTACCTGTGTTCTAACATTGAAAAATGAGATAAAATACCAGTATTATGTAAAGTCTACCTAGAAAAGATCTACAGTGACTTCATAGATTATCTTAACTATACACATATATAAAATTTTTTATTTTAGTTTTTTGAGACACATGACTTGTCCTACTTTAATAACATGATTCATATGTTGGATAATGGATTACAATGTGGATAGCAGAGCAGAGGATTTGAAGGCTGAAGACCATTGTTCAATCTAGGATTGAACTTCCTAGATTGCTGGCATTTCTGTCCTTTGTGCCACTTGGCACATATCAAACATTTAAATAAATAAATAACAACAAGGATCTCTTCATCTGTAAATTGGAGATAATGCCACCTACCACACAGAGTATTTGTAAAGAACAAGAGATCAAATGGATGCCATAGTGCTTTGTTAATCTTAAGACTCTGAGCTAAATTATTTGTAAAAATCTGTTAGAAGAATTTGTTATTTTATAAAAATATCAAATGTCAAATAAACTTGAGTACTTGGCTTTGATACAGTAGTTTATTTAGTTATGTTTTCCTGTTAAAATGATACCATTAACAACTAATTTGTTCAGTGTTCATTTTCAAGGGGAAAAATGTCTTACAACTCATTAAAAGAACACTGTATATAATTCAGGTTAATTCTGATGTCCTGTCTCTTTTGGCAAGTCATAAGAAGAAATCTGTTTTTTTCAAGGGAAAAGTTTTTTGGAAAAAGGTCTAAAGTTTTTATGCTTATTAAATTCCAATTCAACAGCATTTACCAAAGCACGTCACATAGATTTCTTTTATAGCATTTATCATATTGTATTACAAATATATTTTTTTCTCTCAGAAGACTTTTGAGGAACTTAAGGGCAGATAATTATGTCATCTTTTTATCAAGTCATTAGCCTTTGGCTGGTTCTTCATAGAGGTTAGTGCCTAGCAGGCATAGAATGAAGAATAGACATAGAATGAACAGAGGATATGTGTTGGGTCCAGCAGAAGAAAAAGAGCTATTCTAATTTTGATTATTTTTTTTAAAGATTTATTTATTTATTTGAGAGAGAGAAAGCATGAGAGAGGGGGGAGGGTCAGAGGGAGAAGCAGACTCCCTGCTGAGCAGGGAGCCCGATATGGGCCTCGATCCTGGAACTCCGGGATCATGACCTGAGCTGAAGGCAGTCGCTTAACCAACTGAGCCACCCAGGCGCCCAATTCTAATTTTGATTATTTTTATGGTAGATGGTCAAAGTGATAAGTTTATCAACAACTGAAAACAGGATTTAAAAAGATTTAGGTTTTTCTCTATGAATGAGACTAGTTTTAAGGTAGACAGATGTATGTATGTTAATCCAACAACCTGATACAGGGAGAATTTGGAGATTGTTATCAGGACGGTAACATGAAAATGACATGGAGAAAACACCAAAAACAAACGTACTTTAAAATTACTGAGTGGTAGTTTATTCAGTAGTCTCAAATAATAATGAAGTCTAGTTAACTTTGCCAAAAGCTTGTATTTTATGTTTTATTTTTGTGATTTTTAAAATGTTATATTGATATCAAAATAAAATTGTAGATGGGAACTAGCCTGCATTAATTAGTATTTTGTTTTATATTGGGGAGGGGTGATGAACCACATGAGAGTTTTTACTTGGAAAACAGTTTATGTTTAGATGATTATTTGCCCAGCTTATTTTGAGGTATAAAGCTATGGTCAGTAAGTGAGGAGATATTTGAAACCATATTAGAAAAAAAACATGGAATGACAATTTCAAGGAGCTGTGTCCAATAATTAAGATAAAATGACTAACAAGGTTTATAATATTCACAAAAGGATTTTCATAGATTTTTAAGTGCCTCATGATAACCAACATAGACTTTTCTTACCTTTGCCTTTGTAAATCTAGTTGCTTGGGAGCCATTCCTTACTGAAAGAAAGGGTGCTAATACTGTAAAAAGACTATTGCTATGATCCAAGCAAATGTCATCAAAACCAAACCAAACCAAAACAAAACCCAACCCAACCCCCCCCAAAATTACTTTATAAAATAAAATAGCCATTACCTACAGGAAAAATTTATAACAATTATGGTTACGTACATGCATGCTACTTTCACATGGTAGTGTCAGAAGCTTGAACTAAGATTGAATAACTTGATTACACATTAATAAATTTAATGTGATTTGCCCAAAGTTGTTTGAAGGAAAGGATTCTTACTAAAATTAATCTGGTGATATTTAGTTCAAGTGGCAACTATCATAGTTCTCATATTCTATTTTGTAAAATAATTAGCATTTTCATAGCTTTATCAGACACATGTATTTTTATAGAAAATACATTTCGGGGCGCCTAGGTAGCTCAGTCGTTAAGCGCCTGCCTTCGGCTCAGGTCATGGTCCCAGGGTCCTGGGATCGAGCCCCACATCGGGCTCCTTGTTCAGCGGGAAGCCTGCTTCTCCCTCTCCCACTCCCCCTGCTTGTGTTCCCTCTCTCTCTATGTCTCTATCTGTCAAATAAATAAATAAAATCTTAAAAAAAAAAAGAGAGAAAATACATTTCACTTCCCTTATGCAGTACAGTTGCTAAAAAAGGAGATAAAAGCAAGCTGGTATGTACAATAAATTGATTCCATTTTAAGTTATAAGTTGTAAAGATATAATATGGTAGGTACTTTTCTGTGATTAAATCCTAATGTGGGCTTATGGGAGAAAAAAGAGCTTACAAGTTTTGGTATCAACATACATGGGGGGGTAGAGGAGGTATTCCTAACATGGAACTTTGTATCACATTGCCTAATTAACACATCAACTTTAGAATTGAAAATGTAATATTTTTATTATGAGAAAAAATTAGTATAAATTTATCTTTTTGTTTAAGGTAAAAGCTAGATCACAATGTCTACGTTATTTCACAACATATAACTGGCTACCAGTTTTTCTAGTCTGAGATACTTGAGACCTTACCTTGCTTGGATGACTCAAGAGTATTTCACATTCAAAATATTAATTTCAAAATATTTTATAATCTATCTTAAAAGCTAATATTTTCATGAAGGAGGCCTTGACTTTTGTCACATTTGGTGAGCAGATACAGAAAGTTTAAATAACACAACTTGCCTTGTACACCTCAGATTTTTTTCCTATAAAATTTCCAAATCACAGTGCCAATAATTCAATTAACACAAACCCCAGCAGTTTTAAAGTCATATTTAATGTTGGCTAATTCTTACTTAGCATCCTATTTAGAATGTAATGTCCCAACATTGGTACATGAAAAACAAATTTCCTTCTAATAGAAGTTAAACATATTGTCATAGACAGTTCTTTAAAAGACAAAAACGGAAAACACCTTGCAAACATACAACTTTCTAGCAAAATTTTTAAGTACGTAATTCTCATGTAAGGCACTTCCATTCTTTTTCAAATATAAGTTTCATAGAAAGTTTCCATTTTTTTATAATCTAGTCTTCATAAGTTATACAGTAATAATGTTACTTCATGTAGAACTTTATTAAATACCCAATTTTGGCATAATTTCCTTAAATATCTTTATCTTTGAATATAATGAAGGATGGGCATCAAGTTCTTTGTGGGCTAATCTTAAAGGAATGTTTTATAGAATTGGTAATGTTTTATCTTGTTGATCAGGTTCAAGAATCTTGAAATCTTCCAAAGGAAGACTGCTTAAGGCAGTTGGTAAAATGTCTTCTGATGTGCCTTTAGGTAATATGTTATTTGCTTCCAGATTCTTCACCAAGCAAGTGGCTTTGATCCATCTTCGTGTTGCTCTGCGTTCTTTTTGTAAGCAACTTTTCATTTTCTTTCTTAAGCTTGCTATTTCTTTTTCCAGTTTAATTATCCTCTTTTTTGCCTCCATAGGATTCCTAAAAGCGTAACTATGTTCAAGTAGTACTTGCTGACTACTAATGTTTGATTTTAAATTAGATGGTCCTGTTGGGGTACAATTGTTGTTTTTCTTCAAAAGATTCCTTGACTTGAGTTTCTAAGCCAAATAAAATTAGAGGGTTGAACATAAATTATGGAGTATCACAAATAAGTAAATTTTGCCCAGTTTTGTACAAAAGTAATTAAGCTGCTCTTTTAAAAACTGATTTTAAAAAAGTTTGAAAGGAAACATCAGCTGCCCATCTCATGTAATCGTGGATTCAAGTTTCTCAACTTGTTGAATTAGCTCCAGCCACCTTATTTCGATTTGTCTTTTCTCTTCAGAGGGATACAAACATTGTTTGAAAATAGACAATGGACTTCCAAGGTCTCTTTCAAGTTATTGAGTATGATTTTAGTATAAAAATCTTTTGCAATTTTCTCACTAAGGTCAATGTAATGTATTTTTAGACATTTGGTTTGTCTCTGATACTGATTTAATCTCTTTTTTAGGTAAACACCATTCTTTCAATTTGATAATATTTCAAACCTGGGGTTCTACTTAATAAAAAATTATTCCCAAGTATCAAGCTCCTGAATAGATTTACTTATTAAATGTTCACAGTTACATCTTCCATTCAGGGATTTAAAATCTGGCCAGGAACTTTATACCCAAATCTGAAGACCCTGAGGACTTTTTTTTCCCCCTTTATCTCTTTTATTCAATTAGTCATCAAGTCCAATTAATTCTACCTCCTAAATATCTCTGTCATGAATCCTTTCCTCTCCATCATTCTTAATGCTACTGCCCACATCAGGCCTGTTATCATATCTGGCTTGAATATACTAAAAAATTCTTTAATCATGTCCACCTCATTCTGAGCCTCACTAATTCATATTCTGCCACCAGAATAATTTTTCTAACAGATTTGATGTTTCTGTAACTGGCTAACTTCCTCTTTGCTTCATTATCCAAAGACAAAAAATTTTTACATAGCAAACTTAACAATTTAGGATCTCACACCATTTTGCCATTCACCATCTTAATTTATACTCCCATAATATTAAATCACTTCCAGTTCCCAGATTATGTCATAACTTCATAAGTTTGTTTCTTTTATTGAGTCAACATTTATTAAAAACACAGGAATTCATTTGTGGACAAATAAATTTTCCTCTCTGATCAGATTTTTCCCAACTAGATAAAATATTGTTTTAATACATTCATCATGTACCTTAATTCTCTCCTTTCTTTTACATATCACTTGCTAACATTTGATTATTTTCTACTTAACCCTCAACCCATTGGCTTTTGTTCTCATGTTATCGTAATTGTCCTGTGCAAGGTTAAGTAAGAACCCGCTCCTAAGTTCCAAACTCCAAGCTCAAACTCCAGCCTAAATGCCTGAGCTCTATGAAGTTTTCTGTGATGCCCTCCTCTGAACTTATATTCTTTGGTGTAACTCTGGTATTCTTAAAGCTCTTCACACACATTTTGAATGTTATCTTAAAATCAAGAGCAGAATGATGCTAGAGGTTTCATTACTCATGATTTCTCAGTTTTACCATTGGTTCAATTATTGATAATAACTGGAAGTAATGTAAAATTCCAATATATAAAATCAGTTTGGATTGGGGAAAGAATACTGGAGTCAGGAGACCTAGCTCTAATTGTAGTCTATACCTTTACTGCACAAAAGGAAGTTTTGTGACTTTCTTGAGGCACATCATTATGTATGAATTTTGATATATTCTGAATTGTTCTAATTTGTAAACAAAAAAGAATAGGTACCAAAAATGGTAAAAATGGGTAAAAGAAAAGTAATGTTACCTACCATAGACTTTAAATGGGTACAAAAATCAAAAATGGTTGGAACAGCATCCATTTTAAGTCGTCGAGTTTGTCCTGTTAAGTCAAAACAGGAGGCTTCAAAGTGCTTTGAACAAAGAAAAGTGTGTTTTCCTGGCACAAAATTTTTGCGCCTAAGCAGGCGAACCCATTCTTTTCTTCTTTTAGGATCCAAAGGAAACCTTTAAAAAAAAAAAGAAAAAAAAGGCAACTCATATTCCAGCAATCACACTTCCGGCTGCACCTTAATGGTTAAAAGAAATTTTATTTTATTTACTTTATTTTTTTTTAAAGATTTATTTATTTTTATTTTGAGAGTGAGAATGAGAGAGAGAGAGAGAGCACATGAGAGGTGGGAGGGTCAGAGGGAGAAGCAGACTCCCTGCCGAGCAGGGAGCCCGATGCGGGACTCGATCCCGGGACTCCAGGATCATGACCTGAGCCGAAGGCAGTCGCTTAACCAACTGAGCTACCCAGGCGCCCAAAAGAAATTTTAAAAGATGATGATTTAAAGTGTCTTCCATCTACATACAAAATTTTAATATCCAGACACTGGAACAAAAACCAATTCATGCTATTTTTTATAAGTTGCAAAAATATTAATGAAAAACTGACTTAAGTGCTTTTAATTTTCAGGGTTTTAAAGAGACCTTTCTTCCCAACGTAGTTCTTAACATGGGCAGTAAAAATAAACAAGACTATACTGATCTAGATCAAGGTTACGTAGAACCATTATAAGTACAAGTAATTCACAATGCTATGATCTGCTGATGTATGTACATGGTCAAGACAAATCAAAAATCTGCAGATTAAATTTTATCAGGGAAAACCTAGACAGATTCTGGTATTCCTTCCTCTGTGTTCCTTCACTGTGACAACACATTCTTTTGTAGTTTTTCCACTTTAATAAATTTCCAGTGAAATAAAAGTAGATTGTTAAGTTTCTTAAGGTGAGGGATCATTATATCATCTATTTTAGCACAGTGCCTTGCAAACAGTAGGGGCTCAACAAATATTTGCTTAATTGATATGAAATATATAAATTAACAATTCACTGTATTAATTCCATGTAAACTGAACATATTTTTAAAAAATGAACTCAAGCTATGTAGTGTAGTAGAAAGCATAATTATTACAAAAAGTAAAATGCTGCTGACAAGCCCAGCAGGAATGTTTTTCCTTTCATATTTATTTTAAATACAAAATATACTGATATGTACCAGTGTATACCTGTTAAGGAAGAGAAAAAATATAAGGGACTTGAAAACATAAGAAATCAACATTCACATGTATTAAGTTTGAGTTGAGCTCTTCTTTAGTTTGATTACCTTATCCTTTAAGTATTAATTATGAACTAACTCATGTTTAAAAAGAACCATTAAAATCATGTTAAAAGATCATATGGCTCAGAAACCCCCAAGTGAAGCTTTACTAGGTAACAACAGCTTTAGGTAGATCAGATATAGTAGGTTTGCTCAAATTACCAGCAGTGAGGGGCACAAAAAAATGAAAAACCATTTTAACTGGTAGGCACCCTCCCATCTCCTGTCCCTATCACACCACCTAAACATACCCTAATCTGAAAATATTAACATTTATATGTCACTCTACAGTTCATGTTTTCATATATGTAAGTTTTTTCTATTTCATTAGAAACCTCTGATGGAGGATTCATCTACTCTGCTTAGCTCTTACCTGTTAATAATAATGTATTCTCATTTCAAAGATCTCTGTTCCAGTATTTAATGGTTTGGATGTTTCCTATGGCCTCAGCTAAAAGTCAAGCTTTGGTTTACAAGCACATTTCTTGTTTGGGCCTCAATAAAGGTGCAGACAAATAAGGATCATTGTATTATCATTGCTGTAAGAATCTTCAGATAATATTAAACTGTCAGATATTGTTTTTCAACCTTTTATTTTTTTTAGCTTTGTAGAAAACTTTGCAGAAACTTTTTTAGATTATTTATTTAAAAAAATTTTTTTAATTAATTAATTTGACAGAGAGAGACACAGTAAGGGAGGGAACAAACACAAGCAAGGGGAGTGGGAGAGGGAGAAGTAGGCTTCCCTCGGAGCAGGGAGCC